GGGGGAGGGTGCGGCGCTTTGCCTGTGGTCATCCTTGTGCAGGGTGGGTACCCGGAGGCAAGGTCCCACTTGCACGGATTGAGAGATTGAGGGCGTTGATCTTTGCTATCTACGGTCATTATCGCTTCATTCGTCTCAGTGGGACCTAGCCCCGGGTACCAGGTACCAGGACGATAGCCTCACTATAAGAAACCGTATAGCGCCCAATTCCACAAATATACAAAATAGGCAGTTTTGTCTGCCCAGACTCCAGTCGCTCCATTCGCTTTCGCGATCCCACGCTGACCTCCTTCGACCACCCACCCCTCCCAGTAACGAAATGACTTCTGCAGGCTCCAGTCGACGACTATACGGGATCGTACTATGGTGAATCTGGAGGTACATTTCGGCCATCTGACAACTATACGGTGATTTCCGGAGGTACATTTCGATGGTAAGTGGAGCGGTGTGTCACACTAATATCCGAAATCGTACAGCAGATAGTAGTGGAGCGAGACCCTTAAACTCTCCCTAAGAAGCTCTCAACCTTTCCTTCTTTCCTCTGTCCTTGTTCTGCCTCTCTCTCTCTCTCTCTCTCTCTCTCTCTCTCTCTCTCTCTCTCTCTCTCTCTCTCTCTCTCTCTCTCTCTCTCTTCTGTCTGTCTGTCTGTCTGTCTGTCTGTCTCTGTCTGTGTTCTGTCTCTGTGTGTCCGTTTCTCTTCCTCTGTGTGTGTGTGTGGCTCTCGCTCTCTCTTCTATCAATTTCTCTGTTTCTGTTTCCTTGTGTGTGTGTGTTTCGCTCTCTCTCTCACACTCTTCTGTCTCTGTCTGTTTGTCCATCTCTCTTCCTCTGTGTGTGTGTGTGTGTGTGTCTCTCTCTCTCTCTCATTCTTGTCTCTGTCTGCCTGTCGGTCTCTTCCTGTGTGTGTGTCGGTGTTGCTCTCTCTCTCTCTCTCTCTCTCTCTCTCTCTCTCTCTCTCTCTCTCTCTCTCTCTCTCTCTCTCTCTTGTCTGTTTGTCTGTTTGTCTGTCCGTCTCTCTTAATCTGTGTGTGTGTGTGGCTCTCTCTCTCTCTCTCACTATTCTCTATCTGTCGGTCTCTCTTCCTGTGTGTGTGTGTGGCCCCTCTCTCTCTCTATTCTCTCTGCCTCTGTTTCCGTCTCTCTCTCTCTCTCACACACACACACAAAAAAAAAAAAAATAATAATAATAATAATAATAATGATACAGCCGATCATCCTTCTCCCCTCTCTCCCTCTCCCCCTCCCTCCTCCTCCCCTCGCTCCTCCCATTCCCCCCACCGACTTCACGTCATTGCCTGTTCCGAGGCCCAGTCATATTGAGGTGGAGCTACCCCATTCCCGCGAACATAACACCCGGTCATCGTAGCTGTATTTAGTGCAACTTCAAGGCCACATACAGATGTACTGACGGGTCGTCGTGTTCGGGGGAAGTAGTGCGAAGATGAATGTACACAAGCTAACTTTCGGGCCCGATGCAGTCAGGATGAGACTGCGTTGTGATCGGGGAGGGGGGCAGACGGCACTTCTTTTGGTATTCTTCCGCTATTCCCACTCCCGCTCTTTTCTTTTTCATTTCTTTTTTACTGTTTTTGCTCCCGCGCTTTTGCAGCTCCCTCCCTTGTCTCCACGCCCCTCCCCCGTCTCTCTTTTTCTTTTCTAGCATATTTTTCCCCATGAGGGGGAAAACGGTTTTGACCGTCTCTCTCCTCTTTCTTCCTCTCTCTCTCTCTGTGTCTCTCTCTGCCTCTCTCTCTCTTGTTGCTTGTGGTTCTCTATATCAGGGCGTGTTTTCCTCCTTCCATTTATCGCTGCTCATTCTTTCTCTCTCTCTCTCTTTCTCCCCCCTTTTCTCTCTCTTCATTCTTCCCTCTTCTCTCTCTCTTCTTTCTTCCCTTTCTCGTCTCTCTTCTCTTCCCTCTCACGTATGAGATGCCTTTCTCTCCTCTGTTCTCTCTCTCTCTCTCTCTCTTTTCTCCTTTGTTCTTCTTATCCCTCCTCCCTCCCGCCCACCCTCTCCTCCCCTCTCCTCCCTGTCCTCCGCTCTCCTCCCTCTCCTCCTCCCTTTACTCCACGTCCTCTCCTCCCTTCGCACTGCGTTTTCTCCCTTCCCCACCTCCCCTTCTCTCCTCTCCCCTCTCTCCTCCCCCCTCCTTCCTCCCCCCTCTCGCCTCCCCCCTCCTCTCTCCTCCTATCAACACCCCTCTCTTGGTGAAATAATAATGAGATGTGTTCCTTTCAGTGTGGGTACGTGCGCGTCTTCATCAACACGTTGCGAGTGGGAAGAGTGGGTGGGTTGGTGGGTAGGTGGGAGAGGGCATTCGCTCGATGTTCCATGGGCTTAGGCACTTGGAGCAAAATGAGTCATCAAGGGGTTTAGACAGGAGGACCGAAAGTGCACCATCAGAAAGGAAAGAAAGAAACAACAAAAAGAAAGTGAGCCATTAAGAACTTGGAGAGGGAGGGGCATGAGGGTGTAGAAAGCCGAGCAAGAGCTTCAGTCTATCGCGTCGCCCGCCTGCACGCTCACGATTGTGTGTGTGTGTGTGTGTGTGAGAGAGAGAGAGAGAGAGAGAGAGAGAGAGAGAGAGAGAGAACCTGCACGCGCACGAGTGTGTGTGTGTGTGAGAGAGAGAGAGAGA